GGCAGCACTGCTTCCAGCCAACATGGTCAGGCTTCCTTCTTGTGAGAAGTTGTGTGGATCTTCTTCTTGCCTGGAAAAGCACATCTGGGTCTCATGTTTTAAATGCAGCTGGGGATACTGTTAGCTGTCAGGTCTTTCAAATACAGAAAATTCACTGGCATGCCTCATTGCTGCTCATATCCAAATCTTATTTCCATTGTAACTATGGCAATAGGAGTAGACTAGTAAGAAAGTATAAATGTGTGCGTCCTCATGCCCTGTGTTGGTGTAGAGGATTGCTAGATGCATCCATTTAACTACCTTATCTTGAATCTATATGAAGAGATCTTGCAGATTTGCTTCTTGTGCGGGCCAAGAAGACAGGATCTTTTTTCCCTGGCTCTTCAAGGTGTTAAATTATAAATCCAGTAGAGTTGATCCAGAAAATCCTGGAGGTGACTTAGGGGAAAACATTGTATGAACTCAGCAGTTTTAAGACTTTATTCTAATTTTTTATAAAAATCCAGGTTTGGTCTGCTAAGCTTTATACCATAGTGTGGGGAGAAATGAACTGGTGACAGTGAATGTCTGAGAGAGTAAAAGAGAGGGAAAATTTTTTAATCCATATGTTAAACCTGAGGTCTTGGAGAGGGGTCTTCAGGTAGGTCAAAATTTACGGTTATATCGAAGCTTTTTTCCCCTTTGTTCTTCCATAGTAATTCAGTTAGAGAAAACTGAACATTATGGAAGAAAAATAATGAAATACCCAGGAGCTGAGAGGGAATAATAGCATTCAACAAGTTTGTTACCTTTCATGAAAAAGCATAACTCCAGTTTTCACGAGCTCTGGAGCTTGTCTTGCAACTCTGCCAGGTTAAAATATTTTCTTTTTCCCCCCCCTTCCTCCTCCTGTTCCTAACTAATCTGCAAGTGATTGCGTTTTAAAAATTATTTTTCTCTTGAATTTTAAGACTTTGACAGATGGCACATGTAGAACCTGGAAAACTTCCTGAATTGGCAGAGTGACCATACCCCTGCCATCTTCCTACCGCAGTATCTGTAGGTGCGTAGGCTGTCTGTGCTTCCAGAGTGCTGGGTGAGATACCGTTTCCTCTGCTGGAAATATGCAGAGAGCAAGTGATAAATCAAAAACCTACCTGGTGACAGGCTAAATTTGCCATTAATAGATAACTTAACCTACTGGTTAGGTGGGTAATTTGATCGTGACTAGAAACAACTCATTCAGAGCAGCAGTAATCTCCAGGATGCGTACCAGCAGTGTTTTTTCCATGCAGGATGAATATCAATCTTTGTTTAGATGGTGTGAGTTGGTTTAACAATATTGAGAAGCTGAGATGTCAAAAGCTATGCCTCACAATAGACTATTCTTTGGGCTAGAGGATATCATACCAAACCTGAATCTTATGACCTTTGAAACTTGGTTTATTGTGACTGTCCTCCTTTCAGGGACTCTGTCCAAGGAAGACCTCTTAAGCCAGTGGAAGCACGTGAAGTCGCTTGGTTATGAATGTGCACAGGCAGGATGGCTTGATGCTGCACAACAGTTGTTCTCGCCACTGTATGTTCTGAGTTTTGTAATGGTGGTTGACTACATAGCTTGTTTTCTAGTTGCAGTCCTTTGGAGCATTTTAGGAAAAGGGCAGTAACTTGGCACTTAAATATCTCTCTGTGATTTGTGCTGTTCAACTTGCGTGGAAAGAACATTTAAGTCTGTATGCAGTTAAGGCCTCTGAAGAGAACTGACATGCTAAAAAACATGTTTAAAAACAAAGAAAAAGTTGATTTATTCTTTTTAAATCCTAATTATTATCTGCTGAACACATGAATTGGTATAGAGTTCTGTCCCTATAAAATTTATGACTCGATGTTGTACAACAGGGGCCTTAGATCTTAAAGGTGAGCAAAGGCTTTTTGTATTCCTAGGGTAGGACTACTTTGATAAACTGCTTTTAGACAGACAAAAGAGATGCGATCTTAAATCAGTGTTAATGTATGACTGACTCGGAATGATATCATCTAGAGATTATTGCTTTCCTCTGTTTCTGCGGTGTTAACAAATGAATACTCAAGAATGTAGCAGTGAAGTAAATGGCTCTTGATAAATTATGCAGTCTTGACTCCAGCTATTGTTTGAGGTAATTGATGATCTTCCATTGGTGTAATGGGGCTGTGGCATAAACTGCAGCACGCCCTACAGTAGACAAATTGGTCTGGTATTGTTTAGGAACATATTTAATCTATCTTGCTATAAGTGAATCAGTGTCTTTTGCTGAAACATTGAGAGAAAGACCAGTATTTTCATACTCAGTTCTAAATAAACTACAGTTGAATTTACAGCAGTCATGCTGTTTCCTGTTCTCTAAATACTTAAGGGATAATAAACACAGAACTTTGCAATGCAAGGTAGACTTCTTTTCCCTTATCCCTCTACCTGATTTTTCTTTAATTTGTGGGTTTACAGGCTAATAATAAGGTTCTCCTTGTTCTTGATGCATTGTACCAACTTCAGAACATCTACCTCGGTGGCTTGACTAATTTCAGTTTAGATGTACTCACAGAAAACTGTACTCCCCAAAGTGAAAAGCTGCCTTTTTTTTTTTTTTTCATACATCAGCCAAGATAAAAGGCATTTCCGTAAATCTCCCAGAACAAACTGGGCGACTGAGGCAAAACTTGCCCTGAAACTTAAATCTTCAGATCCCTCTTAATAACTGACTGCAAACTTTTGAATGTGGAGTTGGGAGTTAGATGGCTGTAGGCCACTGTTCGTATGTTTAAAGACGAGCAACAGCACAAGTTCAGTATCACAGAATATGATGCCTACAGAGTTAGATGTTTGAGGTGGTCTTTTTTCCCCTGTCGTTCCCCCCACCCCCCATGAGATTTTGGTTTTAAACTTGAGTAAATTATATGGAAAAAAAGTATCTAGAATAAACAACTTGACTTACGCATATTGGGTGAAATAGATTTTCCAACTTGCTGTTGCCAAAACCAGTTTGCTCCCAAGGTAATTGGCTATATGAATCAACCCCAGAAAGTTACTACCTGAGAAGAACTGCAGAAGCCCAGTAACTCCTTTCTGGAAAGAAGCTCCCAGGAGTTTGCCTGCCTTTCTGATAGAGGAGGCGGCTATCATATCAGCCAAACTGATCCTGGAACTAGATACAATAAAGCTTCCTTTTGAGTACATGGTTTACATGGACGATGGGCTGCAACTCCTCCAGGAGCAGTTTGTCCAAGATGTCTTTTACCCTTGTCCATGACTTACCTGTTCCATAAATCTTGCTGGGAGCCTTGGCTTGGTGACAGCTCATGTCTACTCGAGAGCAGTGGGTAGCCTGTTTAAAACTCAGACTTTTGTTTTGAATACATAATTGATAATTAACAGTGAACAAGACAGGAGCTTGCTTGTAGTAGGAGTAAATGTTCTGGCTCTGCTTTGCAGTCTGCTCTCTCCCCCACTCACCCTTTTTTTTCATCTGCTCAGAGGTGGCATCACTTGTCTTGTACTGCAGGGATGTTTCCAGCTGAATGCCACTGGTTGGAAGAAATGCTGGGGTCAGCAAATAGTGCTTTATGTATTTATATGATTTTGTTTAGCTTTGTTCCCTTTGTTATGAAGCAGCAGTTTAAGGTCACTCTCTTGATACTGGCTTAATACTGCTTTCTGTTTCACATTTTTAGTTCTTTAGCTATATACACCTCTAAATGTGTTTGCAGTGGATTTCTTTTCAAGCTCGATCTAGTCATGGAAGTGATGCTTAAACTCTACTCACCTTGCAATGTTGCTGCTAATAATCACTCACAAGAGGAAATGCACCGCTTGAATGTGCATTTGCATGGAACACCCTATTTGATATATTGCATGAGAATAAAGCCATGAGAGAAAAGGCAGACGGGAAAGGGTAAAGGGAAGAAGGAGTTGTGTAATTAGGTGTTGAAGGCTAATGCTGCATAATGATCTCAATGATCTTACCCATCTTTTCCAACCTAAATGATTCCATGATAAATGGCTGTCACCTGAATTAACTTCCAGATTCAGTGTTTTCTTAGAATCATAGAATCGTTTTGGTTGGAAAAGACCTTTAGATCATCAAGCCCAACCATTAACCTGGCACTGCCAAGTCCACTACTAAACCATGTCCCTAAGCACCATCTCCCTGTCTTTTAAATACCTCCAGGGATGGTGACTCAACCACTTCCCTGGGCAGCCTGTTCCAATGCTTGATAACCCATTTGCTGAAGAAATTTTTCCTAATATACATCCTAAACCTCCCTGGCCCAACTTGAGGCCATTTCTTCATGTCTTATTGCTTGTTACTTGGGAGAAGAGACCGATCCCCACCTGGCTACAATCTCCTTTCAGGTAGTTGTAGAGAGTGATAAGGTCTCCCCTCAGCCTCCTTTTCTCCAGACCAAACAACCCCAGTTCCCTCAGCTGTTCTTCGTAAGACTTGTTCTCCAGATCCTTCACCACCTTTGTTGCCCTTCTCTGGACATGCTCTAGAATCTCAGTCTTTCTTGTAGTGACAGGCCCAAAACTGAACACAGTATTCAAGGTGTGGCCTCACCAGCACTGAGTACATGGGGACAATCATTTCTGTAGACCTGCTGGCCACACTATTTCTGATACAAGCCTCAGTTGGTGAGAGCCAGTCTTCAAATGGTCAGGGTCTGGGTGTGAAGAGGGGCTTTCTTTTTTGCCTGGACTGAGGAAATAAAGGAGGAGCCATCCAGCCTCAGAATAGTTATGTTGGGCTTTTGAATGAAATATCAGGTTGAATGTGTTTTCTAAGCTAGAGACAGCAAATGTGCAGATTTGCTACTCCAAGTTGATGCAAATCCTCGTCACCTCATCTCACTCTTCTCGGTCTTCCCCCTCCAACTGTTTTCAATAATAAGTTGATGAAATGTCTTCAGTATGGTTTCTGACAGTTTGTTTGTACTCTGCAGGTCCTGTGAAGCAGTAGATGTAATTTGAAGAAAATTTGAAGGAACAAATGGCTTTAGCTGGCTGCCCAGACTCCTTTTTACATCTTCCTTATCGGATAGTAAGTTATGAAACTGCATGTTCCTGTCAGTTTGTAGCATCATATTGCTGTGTGCCAGTGATTGATTGTGCATTCAAACTTTTCATCAAACTGCTAATAGCTGTCTGGCAATTCTCTGGGTTTTGCTAATGTTTGGGAACAGAGTCTCTGTTACAATCCTGTATTCAAGACCTACTGCTGAAAAAACTGGGTCACTAATATGTACTAAGATTTGATTCCTGTCCTCAAAATAGCCAGTTCATATTTGGGAGAAGGCACTTGTTTCCTGAATAAATGGCAAGCTACGATACCAGTGAAATGCCTTGCACCAAAAAGTATCAATGTTTAAATGCTATATTTGTAGGAGCAAAGGCAGAGATTTTTACACTGGATTAGATTCTACGTTTGTCTAGTCATTGTGCTGTATCTAAGCAGCCAATGTGGCATATTACAAAGAATATATAAAAAAAGAAAAGCCACAAAAACAACAAACCACCTCAGCTCAATTCAAAGGTGCTAGGCAAAAATGAACGTCGAAGTTCTCATATATATATTTTTTTTTTTTTTCTTTCCCAGGCAGTTGTGGTTGGCATAATGCATGCTTTGTATTTTTTACGGAACTGCAAATTTGTTATTTTGGGCATGACCTTTTTTTTACCCTTTTTTCTCTTTGTTTTCATAGTGTGCTTACCGCCCTGAGGATTCAGTTATGATTTTGGGCCCTGTAGACATGCAAATGATTAAACAGAGTATCACATGACATTGCAACCTTTTTCTGTTTCTCCCAAGAGAAACATTACTAGTAGTGATTACTACAGCCATGCTACTCATTTGAAAGAAAAGGAAAAAAAAAAAACAAACAACAAAAAAACCAACAAACAAAACCACCAGCAACAAAAATCCCCGACAAATCTCTATAGGATTTACATGTCTGTTTTGTAATATGTCAACTTACACTTTTTTCCCCAACAGGAAACTTCAAATTAGTTAAAAGACTAATGTTAGTATATGCTGAGATGTCAGTTGAATGTACCTGAACGCTTTTCCTGATAACGAGAAAAAAATAACAGTTTCTTTATAACTGTTTTTGCAGCTATAAAAATAGAATGCACTTTGAGAAATCGTGTGTCCTGAAAATCTGTTGCTGTACTTGGATCTATGATTTTAAAAGAATATGTGAATAGATGTGCCTGGACTTCATAATTTTGATGCACTGTGAAATTATGCTTCCAATTCATTTAGAGCATCATCTGAGTCATGGTGCGAAGCTGAGGGAAAGGAGAGCTATGCAAGAGAAACTTGACATTGTAGGCAGTCACTTTTGAGCTGCAAATTCTTTACTGAATGTCAAATTTTCTCATGAAAATAGTGTCTTTAGTGGTTCATAAGCAGTAAGAATGTGAATTTGCCTTGGTACTTCCCCTTGCTCTTATAAACCCTGTTGATAATCTGCTTTAGTCTGGGGCAGTCAACAGACAAGAAGTGTCAAAGCAACATGGGTGACTTAAGACAGTGGGAAAGCGGCTCCCTGTTTAATTATTTTTGGTCATAGCTTGCTGTATTAACTGTCCTAAGGACTTGTAACCAGTTTAAAGACTAGCTTTGGAAGCCCATTCACAACTACTGTGCCTTCTGTCAGAAGTGAAGTTTGCATTAAAAAGCCCTGAACATCTGTTTTTCCACCCCTACTAAATCTGACTTAGAAGCTTTCATCACCTTGTCTTTCAAATTTGGCTACAGTGCCAGTATTGTGTTGGTAAAGGGCTGAAAGAAGGTTAAACTAAATATGCTCTAGATTAGAGTGTGAAGAAGTATTCTATTTTTTTCGGTACATTTTCTAACTTAATATGAATGGAAGGCTATAGAGAACACTTCTCCAGAGTTCCCCAAGGTTGGGACCTTAATGCTGTTAACTTCAGTGTTCAGAATAAATTGACGCGCTAGAGTTTGGGACTATGTTCAAATCAGACAGCAAGAGAAATGAAAACCTGGATAAATGAATACACCCTACAGAATATCCTTCAGGGTGCCTTGTTGCCAATTCTCCTCTACCTTCCTTTTTCTGGTTTTGGGGAGACAGGCAAGGCATAGATATTTGACGTTTTTACTCTGTTCTTTGTTTGCAGTGTATGCTGCGTTGACAAGCTTTTGGGTCTTGTTTAAGAGCTTTTTTTTTTTTTTTTTTAGCTTTCTCAGGAGTTAGCACATAAACCAGTCACACTGAGTGCATTCTCCTAGAAACAATCTCTAGCTTTGTGGAAAAAATCAATACTACCTTTTAGTGGCTTTCAGGAGCCCTTTCCAAATTCTCAAACTCTTCAATAAAAATCCAGCAGTGAGAATTGGCAGCGTTTGTCTTCTGTTCCTGGAAATTCAGAACATAGTCCCAGAATTTCTCAGAAAAAATGGGATGATTTACTGTGTTTCCGTTCTTTTGCAATCTGTAGTCACAACAGTATTTATGCACGGTGACTTGAACTCTTAGGGAAGATTTAGTTCTTTAACCCTTTGATACATGAGTTGTACAAGTCTCGGTGACATAAATAACAAAAGGATAGGGTTTTTTTTTCTCAGTTTCTGAAGATAAAATTCTGGGCATGCAGGAATGTTCTGTTCATCTTCTATTTTCTGCCTTCTGTTTATTTTCTCATAACCGAGATGCAGGCATGACTTTATTAATAATTAATAGTTTGTTTTCAGAGAGCTGAATTCTTATTAGAGAAAGACTTGTTCACATCACACTCGCGTCTAACTTGGCATAAAATGCACTACAAGCACTTGGTCACAAAATAGGGTACAGAGCTGTGGACTTCAGGGTTGCTAATAGTCCTTTTGACCAGATAAGAGGAGCAGAATTTTTCACATCACACTTGAGAAGCTTTGTGCACTTCAAGAGTAGGGAAGTAAATACCTAAGAGAATTAATCAGTTAGAGGCTAGCTGCTGTAATGAAAGCCTCCTTTAATGATGTCAGATTTGTGGATGTGAAGATGATGTACTGCTGTTACTACAACAGTCGCATTTCTTTGCCTTCAACTGGAGGAACAGCTAGGGACAGGTTCTCCAGATTTTAGTGTGGCAGCTTTGATTTGATCCTTGTTTTCCATAGAATGATACAGTAAGTTAGAAGTCACCTTTGGAGGTCATCTGATCCAAGTTCATGACATATTGAGGTTATACTTGTTTTCTTAGGGTGTTTAGCCTTGGTGAGAGTAGGGTTTTGGGATACTTGCAATTTCAAGGGTTGCTTGTTTTGATTGGGTGGTTAGAGGGGGTTTCTGTTTTAGCGCGGGGGGGGTGGGGCGGTGGGGTGGGGGTTGGGAAGATGCAATATCTCTAATTCAGTTACCTTGGTGGATGCCGTAATCCTCATCCCTGTGAAATCTGTTTGACTTAGTCTTATCTCTGCCACTTTGGGATTTGGGAACAATCTGACATAGGTGTACATGCTGCTGTCTATGTTTGCCTGAATAAAATGTCTTTTGTCCTAAAAAACACAGCATGAAAAAAAATCAGTTGCAGAATCTCTGTCCAAGTAGCCTGAAAACCTATGTAGGAAGGGCTGTTAAGGCCTATGTTTTGGCCCTTGTTGTCTGCCTGACACTGTTTGAAAATCTTCATTCACTTAGCTATTGACAGTTGTTTATTGAGACTATGGAGATCTTTCTTATGATTTGTGGTGGGTTGACCCTGCCTGGATGCCAGGTGCCCACCAAAGCCTCTCTGTCACTGCCCTCTTCAGCTGGACAGGAGAGAGAAAATATAACAAAAGGCTCATGGGTTGAGGTAAGGACAGGGAGATCACTCAGCAATTACTGTGAAGGGCAGAACAGACTTGACCTGGGGAAAGTAATATAATTTATTGCCAATTAAAATCAGACTAGGGTAATGAGAAATAAAACTAAATCTGAAAACACCTTCCCCCCCACCCCTACCTTCTTCCCAGGCTCAATTCTTAGCAGGGCCTGTTGCAATAGGAAAAAGGGGTAATGGTTTCAAACTCAAATAAGGTAGATTTAGACTAGATATAAGGAAGAAATTTTTTACAATGAGTGTGTTGAAACACTGGAACAGGTGGCTCAGAGAGGTGGTAGATACGTCACCAACAGAAGCATTAAAGGTCAGGTTGGATGGGGCTCTTGAGTAGCCTGATTTAGTGGAAGATGTCCTCCCTGCTCGTTGCAAGGGAGGTTGGACTAAATGACCTTAAAGGTCCCTTCCAACCCAAACTATTCTGTGATTCTCACTTCATTCCTGAATTCCCTACCTCCTCCCCCCGAGCAGTGCAGAGGGATGGGGAATAGGGGTTGTGGTCAGTTCATCACATGTTGTCTCTGCTTCTCCTTCCTCTGCAGGGGGAGGACTCCTTACACTCTTCCCTTGCTCTAGCATGGGGTCCCTCCCACAGGAGACAGTCTTCCACAAACTTCTCAAACGTGAGCCCTTCCCATGGGTTACAGTTCTTCATTAACTGCTCCAGTGTTGCCCTTTCTGCAGGGTTCAGTCCTTCAGGAACAGACTGCTCCAGCATGGGTCCCCCATGGGATCACAAGTCCTGCCAGCAAACCTGCTCCAGCGTGGGCTTCTTTCTCCATGGGTCTACAGGTCCTGCCAGGAGCCTGCTTCAGCGTGGGTTTACCACGGGGTCACATCCTTCTTTGGGCATCCACCTGCTCCAATGCAGGGCCGTCCATGGGCTGCAGGTAGACATCTGCTTCTCTGTGGACCTCCGTGGGCTGCAGGGGGACAGCCTGCCTCACCATGGCCTTCACCACAGGCTGCAGGAGAGTCTCCGCTCAGGTGCCTGGAGCACCTTCTCCCCCTCCACTGATCCTGGTGTCTGCAGAGTTGTTGCTTTCACATATTCTCAATCCTCTCTTCTGCTGCAGTTGTGCGGGACTTTTTCTTTCGCCCCTTCTTAAATACGTTACCACGGAGGTGCCACCACCGTCGCTGATGGGCTTGGTCTTGGCAAGTGGTAGGTCTGTCTTTGAGACAGCTGGCATTGGCTCTATTGGACAT